TTTGGACATGAGTTGACCCTCCCTTTGTCTACATCAGCTACCCTTTCACCTCCTAGCATAACCTCCTTTCAATTTTCAAAATTTAATTCCTGTACTTCTTCCAAAGCATTCAAAAAAAGTTTGACCTAGTCAGCAATCCTTATCCTCTGGAATTTCAATTGAAAATGTGATTCAAATCGTAGTTTTAAATTTTAATTAAACTTTAAAATTCAACTCTTAACTGGAACAGCTTCAACCTTCTCCTAATGTTTGTCCATTATTTAGCTTTCCTAAACCAACCATCCAATCAGTAACTTTATTCTATCCAACGCTTCTTTAACCTTAAACCAACCAAAAATTTGAATCCTGCAAAAACTTGGTCCTAAAGGAGGTAAAAATAAATCAGTTTTGTCTCCAAAATTCATTGAACTGGTCCTTTCTCTGCACCAGACAAAAGATATTAATGTTTACAAATTACTTAGATTTAAATAAGAATTTGACTTTTAATAGAACACACAAGAAAAAACGATTCATTTAGCTGACCCCACATAGTGGGATAAATGCTTGATATTGTTGTTGTTGTTGTAGGCTTCAATATGAGTCATGAGCATGCACATTCTATTGACATGCTTCCTTTCTCATCCATAATTTCATCACACGGGTATGATAATTCTTTTACGGCAATTGAAAACTTGTCTAACTTTGGTTAAATATTATCTTCATGTCGTCAATGCTGAAGTTGTGCAATAGCCATAACTATTGCTACCTAATGGCAACGAGGTCGCTGCAATGTTTTGGTCAAGTATAGCTGTTGGAGCCTTGGAGGTGATTGCTCATCTCTCTGAATTTAGATCAATGACCGAGGAAGGGATGCAAAACTCAGGACTGATCAAAGATCATGGCACAAAGGTCTTAAAGTTTTGTTTGGATAAAAAATCAATGGGGTGAATGTTTTAAAAATTTTGGCTGGATCGCAGATCTAAGGCTGTCTTTAAACTAACTAGATCAAGGATCAATGTTGTGGTTTTTAAACTAACCAGTTGAAGATCAATGGCCCTTAAAACTAAGCGGTTCATTGATGAATGACCCTTCAAACTAATCAGATCGGTTCAAGTTTTATTGTGCATGCTTTCTACAAAAATGACTAGATGCCTGCACGGGCATGCTCTGTTTTTGCAGTTATGCTACTATTATTTTTACATGTATTCCTATTGCACCTTTTCCTGACTATCCAGTATTTTTGCGGTATTACAGGGTTGCCATGTGAGATTTTTCCAAATGCGCCAGCTTATAAGCTATTTTATATCCAGATCGGCATGGACAAATTCTATTTTCTGGATTATAATGACAGTCAAGATGGTCAAGTCATCGGCATTCCAAAAGCTTGGCAGTGCAAACTTGCCCTTGGCTTGTATGTCTAACTCAATTAACAAACCGCTGCCTCTTCAATTGGATGTATCTCTACCTTCTTTTGAAGATATTAGATGGAGTCTCTCTAGGTTGTATTATTTATTCAACATGCAGCTTGACCGGAACATTGGCACGTAAGTTTAATGTACATAACTGTAAGTTTTCTGTTTTCAATTAAATTTTATTTTTAAGCCTTTCATGTTTACATATTTCAAGTACAAAACAATTTGATCTTCAAGCAAAAAAGAAGAAAACTGTAATAAAATTGAGCAAGTTCAATTGACTCGTACCTAATTTTAGGATGTTGTGCTTTTTGTAGATAAGAAAAGTTGTTCTTCTGGAATACCCCCTTTGAATAAAATAACATTAATGATTTCTTTCTGTCAAAGGGAGATACTTTTGGTGGACATTTTGTAAATTTATAGGCATATTGAAGTAGTAATTCTTTGACGTTTATATTTCTTAGGATCTTGAAGTTACCGTCGGCAATGACACGGCAATATTGTTGTTGTCTAAAATTTATATGCCATTCTGTGTTTAGTCTAGACACAATGGGAGGAGAAATTTTGATATGTAAAATAATTAAGAGATGAGAGATGTAGAGGCTTTGATCCGGTTAGCTACTTGATATACAAATATGATAGGATTTTTTTTAAAATACGAAAATATTAAGAAAGATGAAAATGCCACCAAATTAAGTAATCATTCTATGTGTTGGTTCTTGAGATACATTTACCCTAATGATTCTTTTCACATTTATCTGGTTCTAAAGATACATTCACCCTAATGATGCTTTTCTCATTTCGCACAATTATTTATATTAGTTTGGCTGCTGCTGTTGTTGGGCCTTGTCTTCTTCAAAGTAGATTTTCTAGATTAGTAAAATTATCTAAAATGGGAATCTTATGAACCTTTTATTTCTTCTATTTTTTTCTTTTCTAAAAATCACGTATCTAGCACCTTTATCTGGCTTATGTATAGCGATATAAGCATGATCAGAAGGCATCTTTATCTGGGAGCCAACTGAAGATAGGGATGAATTTTAAATTTAAATTTTAAATTTATCTTAAATATGCTTGTATGTTGAATTTAAATTCAAGGTAGGATTTCCTTAGATTGTAGAGTTTGTTTCCTTCTTTTGGAGAGTTAATTAGTTTAGAAAAGTTAATGATAATTTGAATTATTTTCTTGGCGACCACACGTAGTGGGATAAATGCTTGATGTTAATGATGTTGTTGTTGTATTCTAATAGCGCTGTCATTGTGATTCATGTTTAAAAAAATTAACTATTCACTAATATCACTTTTGTTACAACCCGACTTGAGTACTTGGATTAGGAACAAACGGTCGGACAATCATTAAATTTCTTTCAAATAATCGTTAAAATAATTCAATAAAAATATGATGAGGACATTGACAAGAGGTTTCGACGCGTTTATCAGAGGCGACACAGGAGATCGATGGTCACGATGGAGAGTCTTTACTTTTGATGCATTTTCTGTATTAGCATTTTATGCAATGCTTTAAAAATCGGACCGGACCGGCCGGTCCGACTAGTTCAAACGTGAACCGGTCTAAAGGCCGGTTCGGTTCAACCTGAAAACCGGCTTAGCTTCAAACTGGCCGGTTTTGTCCAAAACCGCTGCGAACCTGTCACGGTTCTCTTGAACCGGCCGGTTCAAGTTTTGTATTTTTTAACATTTAAATTTTAAATAACTTATTTTTAAATATTAAAAAAATATTTATTTTATTTCAGTTTTTTCGTTTTTGCCCTTATGGGTAGTTGGTCGCTATTATAGCTCAAGGGGCATTCTAGTCTTTTGTTTTCTTTGTCATTTTGAGGCCTATATATATATATGACCATCTTCTTATGTATGAGATTATTAATGAATGAATGAAAAATTTCCCTTGTTGATCTCTTTGTGAGTTCGTTACATTTCTCTAGATCTCTTTGTGAGTTTTTGAGGAAATAATATTGTGGATCTCTTTGTGAGTTCTAGTGGAGGAAGAGTTGAGATTTGTGTGTTTTGAATTTCCTTTCCCTCCTCCCAAGATCCGTGACCCTACCCTCTCCCCTTGTTTTTTTCCCCACGGTTCTCTCCAAGAGCCCATCCCGCCGCCCCTCCCCACCTAGCCGCCAGCCGAAACCCCACCGCCGGCCAAGAGCCCCATCCGCCGACCCTTTGCAGCCATCCAGCCTTGCCGCCGGCCCCTCTTGGGTCTTGGATTTGAAATTCGATTTTCTCATGAGGCATTTATTACTTTCTTAAAATAACTCCTTAATTTTAGGCTATCATATTAATTGGATTTCAATTTGAATTTGAAATTCAAATTAATTCTAATTGATAGCCCTCATATTTGGAAACTTTCATTTCTCACAAAATTTGAAATTTAATTCAGATTTTAATAAAATCTTGATTAGTGTTGTGAACCCCACTCACTAATGACAATTATTCTCTTCCCTCTCTATATGTGGCCGGCCCCCTTCATGGGGTTTCTCCCTCTCCCAAATTAGCTTCCTAATCCCACCA